GTACAAGTGCTCATTTATACAACAAAAGACTTATTTAGTTAAAGTCAATAGATGTTGGCTACATTTTAAATGACAGAATTATCCAAAAAGCAGGTTTTTTTCCCCTCACCTGAACAGTACTGAATAACAGCAGAAGTCAATTTTTGTTTACCATTTGATATACTTAAAGCTCAGATACAATGCATATGTATAAAAAATCACTTACTGATCATTATATATGTATGAAACTTATACATCTTTAGTTTTACAAACTTTGGATATTCATACAGCATATTTAGTCCTTGGATTATACCTCTCTACTCCTGGATATATAGAGTGTCAAATATAAAGCTTTGATTCTGTTAAGATTCATCTCACTTGTTAATTAATAGTTTAATAGAAAACAGAACACATTATCTTGATAAAACACAAATCTTCATTTCTTGGACATTTTTTTTGTACGTTTTTAGTAAAAGTAAGTTAACATTTTAAGAAAACATGATTGTTTTTGAGAGAGAATTTTTTCACATTAATATTATAAAGTTTGGGTTAAAAGCTCTTTAAATACTCTTTGAAAAACAAAAATAAAAAATAAATAAATACTCTTTGAAATTACAGTCCACTTTATCGTACATAAAATTTTTCTCTTACCACTTTCAGACCTCAATTCTTTTTTTTTTTTTTGTTTTGTTTTGTTTTGTTTTTTTGTATTCAGTACAGGGTCTACAGGGTTTCACTATGTAGATGGGACTCATAACAAAGTTTTTACAAATTACATTAACTTTCTGTTTTTGTTTTCATCTTTGTTTTTCCATTTCATAAGACAAAATCTCACGTAAGGAGATCCTTTTTTTCCAAAAATATTCTTTTACACATACTTTGGGTTACATCTCCCTTTTCTACTTACTGGTTTCATTTTGCCTTTTTCTCATCCTTTAAATTTATCTTTAAAATAAAATTTACCAAATTTATGAATTGGGATGAATTTCTCTTTTTCTCAATTAGATAGACTATATTCTTTTTAATGGAAATACGACTCCCATTATTTATATAATTACACATTCGAATTTAACTTTTAATAAATTTACACTGAATGAAAAGCCAAGAAAAAAAGCAATATCTTACTCTTTATACAAGTTATGAAAACACATTTAATAGGCCCATATTTACTTAGAAGTTCTATTATACAAAGCATTATGCCATCTATATTTAATTAACTCATAAAGACCAAGCTATTAGCACAATACAACTAACATTATTTCTTTGTCAAAGGAAATCCTAAAAGTCATTGCATTTAAAATACAGAAAGCGGGGCCGGGGAGATGGCTCAGTAGGATAAGAGCTTGACTGGCAAACGCAAGGATCTGAGTTCAATCCCTGGTTCCACCAAAAAAAAAAAATTCAATTAAATTAAAAAAATAAAATACAGAAAGCAATGAACCCCTGCATCTTAAGTTTTACAAGGATGAATATGCAAACTGGCTAACAATCTAGGTGAAACATGTTAACAACTTTAGCAATTGTTGGGTTTTGTTTTTATTTTTTTTGTAATTGTTGGGTTTTAAAGGGGTCTCCTTTCACATCATTTTCCTTTTAATCCAAGCTTTAATCTTTGCATTTTAGTTATGGCCATCTAAACCAGCAACCAACCTTAAATAACCCATTTTCCATTAAAGACAAAAGAGAAAGAATCCGACTTAAGAAGACAAAAACAAAACAAACCTGGGAAAGAACCAAAAGGAAAAAGAAATAAGCTAAAATGTAAAAATGGAACAGCTGTGGCAGTTACTTTAGGAACTTCAGAGCAGTTTACCATGCTGAATTTTGGATTATGTTGTGCCCAACACTGTTCTTAGAAGACAGCTTGTTAGAGCCTTGCCTGTTGGCTGTCTCAAGAGCCCATGTTAGAGAAATACTTTGGGTAAGTGAGTGCTGCTTGTCAAGAATCCTTCAAGTGACACCAAAGAGCTGAATATTCCCTTTTAAGTATCCCAGAAAGCCGCAAATGCCAGAAGGTCTGGATTAGCTCAAGATCCAGGGAAAACCATCTCCTCATTTGGACTGTTGAGATGAGCTACTAGAGTTCCAACTAACCTCAAAATGAGATATATTCTTCTCAATGATTCCCTATGAGACTGCTGCACAATCTGGGATCATTCACCCCTGACACCTCCGTTAAGACCCTTGCCATTTAGGGCCACACTAATGGGCTTGAGAGGGTATTTATCTCTTTTGTCTAAGTTTAGAGACCCTTGGGGACTGTACCTCTCAGATTTTTAGCCTTTATGAAGTCTGTTAGCAGAAGCACAGGATAAAAAATCAAAGAATGCATAAGAAAATTATATTAATAATCATCACAAAGATTAACAGACAGATAAAAAAACATACAGAACACACACACAGTTACATAAATCAGAGTACACTATTAGATGTAAGTCTCTTTTCCAGTCATTTAACTATAATTTAGAATAGTTATCTTGAACTTTCCTTTGAGGGTTACTGATGGTATTTCAATAAGCTTTTCTTTTACGTCCTGGCTTCTTAACTTTTCTCCCCCCACATGGGCCAAGCCACACCATATTTACTTTGAGGACTAGAGTGATGCCATCAGTCAGCCTGACACTGGGTTCCCATTGATGTTCACCAGCCAGCACCAAAACATCAGTAGTCTCAACCTGTCCTTCCTGTGAGGTGCCAATGCAGAAGGCCAAAAAAGCTCCAATAACAAGGCAAATTCCCTTCTCAAAACCAGATGGCCTAAGTCCACAAGCCACCCCAGTGCTCAAGGACAACCCATTTGGCAAGGCAAATTTCTTCATCAAATCTAAATGTACAAAGCCCAGTATGCCAAAAGAGCTCCAAGGACAAACAAATGATAGCAAGGTCCAAGGTCAGAAGGAGAGTTACCAGGCCTGTCAAATTTTAGGGTTGATTGGTCTGTTCTACAAAACAGTAATAGAAAACAGCTAATGTTGGCCAAAGCAGAAAGAAAATGTCCTTCAATAAAAGTAATTTTAGTGGCCACTTGAGAACATCCATCTTTCCTCCTCATCTAAAGTCTAGCCTAGCTTGAAAGGTTAATGAATAGAGATGTGCTTTTTCCTGGTGCAACTTACAAGATTTTTTGCTGAAATTTAGGCAAAAGCTTCAGCTCTTGCAATCCCAAAAGCCCAGGCAGAGCCACCTGTTCCATAAACTCATTAAGGAGATTAGCATGGATAAAGGACAGGAGAGAAATTTAATCAGCACAACAAACTGGGAAGCATAGAGAGGTTCAAAATCTGTCTTTGAGAGGCTGACAAAGCTCTGGAGTTGACAAAGACAAGGGTTACAGTTTGGGATGGAGCTGAAGAAGGTGTCATGTGTAGAAGTCCCCAAAACAACAGCAATGAAAGGACTAAGCTTACCTCCTAAAATCAGCCTGATGGCAAAGGCTGAGGAACTACCAGATTTTGTCTTGTTTTGCTTTCTGAAACAGTCTTGCTATGTAGCCCAGGCAATCCTCCCACCTCAGCTTCCCAAGTACTGGCATTAAGGTGCCACCATACCTGGCTAAGGAACTAGATTTCTAACCTGAGTGAAAGAGTGAAGAGACCTCTGAGTGAAGAAGAAAACGAGTAGGAGATTTTCAAGAGAACTTTAGGATTTGGTTTCCCCCAAATAGTGGCAGACACAATCCAATGGAAGAAAGTGATGAATCATCACAAGGGAGGAGGTTGGTTCCCTGTCTACAAAGTGTGAGTACAGAGGTGGAACAGAGCAGAGAGCAGCTAGGGAGAGAATCAAAGATATTTGGATGCCTTGCCCAATGAAAATGTCTCCAGTCCAGGGGATCTTAGGAAAAAATCTGATGCCTCTCCAAATCAAAGACCAAGGACCAAGACAACCAGCAACTAGGTGGGACACCCAACTTTGGCCTGTAATTCCCAATCAGTTAGTCTTCACTGATTCCCTGGTATCCTAAGATAATTTAACATGGAGGCATCAGAGGAAGGGAAAAGGATTAGGAGACTAACTGTGGGGCTGATTTTCCTGCTGGGGTCCCCTGTAGTGCCAGACAAAATCTGGAAGAGCCCCATGCTTAGCCTCTAAATCTGTCCCCAGCTAATGTGTGTCTTTGCTTTCATAGAAATGGAAATTAAAGCTAACGCACAAATTTATAGGAAAAAAATCTTTAACTGAAAAGCTAGAGGGAAGGCAGTAAAGGACTCCAGTTTAGGTAGCTGGAAGGTACACACTCTGATACAGGGGTTCAGACTGGCCTCCCCACAGAGACCTGGAGTCCAGATTTCAAGAATTACCTGGTGGGCTAGGGCACAGTTGATCATCATCACAGTTCTCTCAGTCTTTTTTTTTTTTTTATCAAGAGGAGAACAAGGGCTCAGAAGGTTCCGTGATTTTCTGCTTTCTTTAGTGTTTGCCAACAAGCCTTGCTAACAACTTCCAGGGAGGTTCACCTTCTCAGTCAGCACCATCCCCAGCAGGAGTGGCTCTGGGGTCTACAGCTGGTTCCATCTGCCTCTCCTGATTCCCCAGAGGTAGGCTGCTCTTCTCACTGTCTCCTGCACAGTAAGAAACCGGGCCAACATACTCTGTTGGCCCTGGCAGAGGGACAAGCATTCCTTAGAAGGGGTAGGTTTTCCTTTATAGCATAGTATATGTTAGCATAGCACACATTTTTTCTAAAAGTATTTTTCTTCTTTTAATAGATTAGTTTAGACTTTTGTTGGCATGATAAATATTTTGTGGTTAGATTATTGTAATATTATGCTATGCATTAAAATGTTTATGATGTGTTTTCATGACCTTGGGTGCATTACAAAGGGTTGTATTTATACAAATTCATGACATTTATAATACAACATTACATAATCTTCACTAACTACTACTTTAAAGAACATGAAAAAAAGAATATGAGTAATAATTAAGAGTATTTCTTCTTCCTTCTTTCTTTTTTTTTTTAACCCAGACTCTCTTCAGCTCAGCGTTGACTGGTTATTACTGTTTTTGTACTGTTTAGCTTTAGTATACATTTATTTATAGTTTCAAATATTACTATAAACACTATAAAGTTGTAAAACATATTTTCCTCCCTCAAACAAAGAGATAGCTGTTCAGTCCCAGGTGCATCAGATGAAATGGTACACTACCTTAGAATTCAGGGCACATAAGAGCCCCTACCCAAAGAACTGAGTCCCATATGAAAGCATATTGTGTAAACTTTAAGAGAGGAATCTGGTCTGACTCAGGACATGTTAGTTCTGAACGTTATTCCCAGGCAAAGAAGCGTTTAGGTGGGGCTGGCTCATGAGTTTCTGGTGAAATTAAAAGAAGCAGGTAGAGAACTAAAGTCTGTCCCAAACACAGGGAACAGATCTGACATAGGGAGCTTCCTTCACTTATAGGGATTCCCGAAGTCCTCACTATTACTAGAAATAACATTCGCATGGCTTTGGGGAGGATCCCAAAAGTTTGCTCAAATACTTGTGAAGATTAATGATATAAAAATGGATACACATAGGAAATTTTTTCTTTAATTAAAATGATGGAGCATTTTTAGCAACTAAGGTCGAACAACTTCTTTATCATTGCTTTCAGGTGCATTGTACTTCTTTATCATTTCTTTCAGGTACTTGAATTTTCTCTCTGGAAAAATAAGAAAAAAAGAATTGGGTGAGATTAAGCTATAGTGTCTCTTTTTCTTTCTAGATTTCAATAATAGGGCAGCTCTAGGAGGCCACTGGAACAGCAATGAAAAGAAACAGGTTATTGGTGAGAGAGATGGAGAAAGCAGGAGCAAAGAATCAGTCTATACTGCCATCCTTGTTTTCTCCAGCAGCTGCTCTGTATTTTATCTGGCCCTGTGCTGATTCTTTCAGACACCTCCTGAACAGCATCCAGCAGAGCGGGCAGGAGTTCAGCACCTCGGCCCTCCATCCAGGATGCCTGCAGCTCCTTCTGCTGCTAGAATCACTGTGGCAGGTGATCCTAGTGGGGGCACTGTGGGAGCTCTGCACCTTGAAGTCATGACCCTGCCTGTGCAACTAGCTTGTGCTGAGGGCTGCTTTGACCCTGTGAGCAGGCCTTTGGAGCCTCTATTCTGGAAAGCCCTGCTCCTCAAAAGGGATGGAGGCCAGCCTGATGAATCACCAGGAACTTCCATCTGTTCTTTTATGTATACATTTATTCTTTCAACCAGTGTTTATTGAGCACCTACTGTGTGCTAGGCACTATGCCAGGTGCTCTCAGTGCAATGATGAACTCAACTGATATGGTCTTCACTCGCCACAGAGTTTAGATTACTTAATAAAGCTTAATAAGATAATTCCACAAACATTCAGGTACAATTTGTTACACAGAAAAAACTCAGGGGTCCACAGGGTACTGAAATAGGTGAGAACTAATTACTTTTTTTGTTCTTAAATGAAAGTGCTTTTTTAAGAAAGATAAGAACAAAATGAAGAAATGGCAGAAGAAGCTTCTAAGCAGAGCAGATGTGAAGATACTTAGGCCGAAGGGAACATGTTTTTACTCCTCACCTCTTTGCCTATTTGTTCCTTATCTGCAGGCACCCTGAGCCCAGGCACTGAGCTGGCTACTGGAGTTACCATGGTACACAAGGGCTGCTCGAGACCACCACTTCAGAAGCTTGTGCATGGAGCTTTGTTTCACCATGACTTCAGTGCATCTATTGACAGATTACTTTCCTTGGGGGCCTAAGGACAGCATTTCCTTTTCTGCTTCCTACCACTGGTTCATATTTGCTGTGGTCCCCACATAGCTCACATGCAACCCAATGCAACTTCAGATGTTACGGACATTAAACTTCTTTCAACAATGTTGCAGCACCAAGCCTTACCTTTGTCCAGTCCCTTCATTCTTTTCCTTCTCTGTTTTGGTGCTTTCTGAAAGAGACCAGAACAAGTTCAAAAACTTCATCTGAGATATGAAAAGGGGAGAGTAGAGTAGAGTTTGAAGAGGCTTCTAATCCCAGGACTCAGAAACTATGACCTTCTACAGGGAAGAGATGGTTATTTAAGTCATGCAATTTCAAGGGTCTGGGAAGGAGTTCTTTGTATCCAAAAAGGAAAAGCCTTGACTTGATTACTGTGTCATAAATTAAATCAGATTTTTTTCACTCATAATTCTATCTTTTGTAAATGAGAAGCCTAGTAAGAAGGATAATGTGTTTAGTTTTAGCACTCAGCGAATTAGAAAAGGGTTTCTAATTCTTTTCTGAAAGCAAGATTTAGAATGGGAAGAAAGAGAATCTGGAAGGCATGAGTGCCTCAAGGGATTAACTAGATGGTGCTACCAAGTACTCTACATTGCCACAGGGACTGGCCCAGGTGGGAACTCTCTAGTCAGCCAGACCTTCCATCGCCTGAGTTTCTATTTGTACAGATTTGACTGTTGTGTCAGTACTACTGTACCACTCAGAGCCTCATGGGGGGGGGCTGTTAACCCGTGGGCCCATGGACATGGGAATTGTCTCAGCATCACCACTGTTACTTTTGTGATTCAGTCTTTACTAAGCAGTGTCTTCTCAAAAACTTCCTGACATTGGCATTTCTTTTTATGTGTGTGCATATTTGAGAATAATGTCTTCATGCAGCTATAATATTAAGCAATAAAATTCAATAGAGTTTTGAGTTAAAAGAGAACACAGTCAAGAGAGAAAAATTTTAATAAGCCCTCCCTCAGTTTTTCCTGCCTCATTTTAATCAATGTTTTCCACATCATATTTGTAAATAACTTTTGTGCTGCTCAATGTCTCAGTAACTTCACTTTTTCTTGAATTTCATATGAAGAGAATCATATAATGGATAGCTTTATTGTGCCTGGCTTCCTTCACAATAGTGTAATGCTTTTGAAGTGATCTATTCTGAGTATTACTGGTATCCCATTTTTGTCTACTTCTTAGCAGTATTTTATGATTATATCCTTTTGTTTGATGATGGATTGTCTTCTTATTAATTATTATTAGTAATAATTATATATTCTAGATATATATCCTTTGTCAGGTACATTTTATGAAAATTTACATTTTTTCCATCCTGTGCCTGATTTACTATTTTCTTAAGAAAATCAAATGAAAGTTTTTCATTTTGGTGAAATCCAGTTTATCAACATTGTCTTCTTATAGTATGGTTTGTCCTTTTTGAGTGCTAAGATTTGTCTACCCAGGGCTGTGGAGATTTTCTCCTGTTTTCTTTCAGAAGTCTTTAAATTTTAGTCATATTTATGCTTATGATTCACTCTAAGATATGTTTTTATAGAATGGTGTGTATTTAATCTCCCAACATCATCAGTTGAAAAGCCTATCCTTCCTTTCTGTGTGGGATTACCTTGGCAAATGTAAAAAAAATTAGTACTATGTGAATTTATGTTTGATCGTATTTTACTGCATTGACTGATGCATATTTTCATCAATCTCATTCTGTCCTGATTACTGTAACTACTCAGTAGATCTTGAAATTAGATAATGCCAATCTTTCATGTTTGCTCTTATTTTTCAGTATTATTTTGGCAATTATAGGTGCTTCGCATTTCCATATACCTTTTATAGTCAGCTTTTAAATTTCTACTTAAAGGCTTTCTAGGATCTTGATTGGGATTTGTTATGATTTAGATCTAAAATGTCTCCCAAAATTATCATCTAGGTGGAAGGTAATCAGATCCTGAGGGCACTGAGGGTGCTGTTGGAAGGCCTGGTCAGAAGAGGTGGTCACTGGGGACACGGCACAGAAGGGCGTCTCTCCCTCCCTAGCTCCTCCCTTTGCTCTCTGCTTCTTGCATGCCACGATGTGAGCAGCTTTTCTCTGTGGTGGTCATCTGCTACACTGTTTCTGTTTTGGACCCAACCAGCTATAGACTGAAACCACAAAGAATCTCCCTTATGGGGACTAGGGATGTAACGCAGTGGTAGGACACTTGCCTAACGAAGAATCTCCTTTAAATTGTGGGTGTTGGGCATTTTGTCACAATAATGAGAAAGTAGCCAGGACAGGATTATTTTGATCAATTTGGGGAAAATCAATATCTTAATTATAGTTTGTCTTCTAATTCATGAATATTGAATATATATGTGTATAATCTCATATACGTATGTGTATAAACTCTCCTTGTGCTACATATATATTTTTTTCTTTTAGCTTGTGTCAGTAGTAATGTTTTGAGTTTTTAGTATATAGATCTTATATTTGCTTGATAAACTTATTCTCACACTTATAATTATATTATTTGCTGGTACTATAAGTGGCATTTATATAGTTCTTTTGGTCTCAGTTGTTTGTTGTTACTCTGCAAAAATAGAGCTGTTCTTAATATTGTGTATTGGCTTTTCATCGTTTGACTTTGCTATGTTGTTTATTAGTTTTAATAGCTTTTAATAGGTTTAATAGGCTTTTCTGCAAATGTGATTGTCATTGTCCCAAAAAAGATAGTTTTTCTTCTTCCTTTCCAGTCTGTATGCCTCATTTCTTTGTAATATCTTTTCTCACTGGCTAGAATCTTCAGCACTATGTTACACAAAAGTACTGAGCGGCAACATCTTCATTTTTCCCAATCTTAGGTGGAAAGTCTACCATCAAATATCATGATGCTACTGAAAGGATTTTGGTAGATGTCCTGTCTTGGACTGAGGAATTCCCCTTGAATCCCTACCTTGTGAAAGTTTTTCTTTCCTTTTTAAAATTATGAATGGATAGGAAATTTTCAGTATCCATTGACATGTTCATGTTTTTTTCCAGTTTCTTTATAGAGTGAATTTTATTTCTTAATTTTTAAATGTTCAGCTTTCCTATGTTCCTAGAATAAACAGTATTTGATCATGATGTAGCACATTTTTAATATCCTGCTAGACTTTTGTTTCTATTTGTTAAGAATTTTGGCACATATGCTCACAAGAGATGTTTGCAGTCTTCTAGTTCTGGTAGATCAGCTCCTCCTGTCTTCAGAGCAGCCTGGACTCTGATCCTCACAGCAAGTGGCCAATCATAAGGTTCACCTCATCTTTTCCTTTCTCTTAAAACTGCATTTTTCTGCTATCCATTGTCCCATGTCTGATAACAGTTTCAAGTATTTTCCTAATTTATAGTTGCTTATAGAAGGAGGAAAATTTTTGTTGCTTCTCAGAAAAAAAAAACAAAAAACAAAAAAAAAACCAGAAGTTTATTTCTTCCACACAATTTAAAAACCTCTATTTTTGCTAGAAGGCTGTCTCTTATTTCCTTCTGCCTTCGTAGCCTTCATTTAGACATACCTTCTGGAGCTACATATTGAAATGTGCTTTTTTTTTTTTTTTTTTTTTTTTTTTGGTGGTACTTGGAATGAATTGTCACGCATGCTAGTTAAGTGCTTTATCATTCAACGAAACCACAGCTCTAAGTTTGATCTTTACACCCTGTGGCAACTATTTAGATATCTGAAGGCAGAATTTGTCTCCTCCTAAGAGTTTTTCTCACCTTAAGCACCCTTAGTTGCTTGAGCACCCTTATACACAGAATATAGCTTGCCTCTGACAGACTTAAGTGCTGGACTTATTAGCCTCCAAAATCATAAACTTTTCCTTCTAAAGAGCACAATCTTGAGTGTTTTGTTATAGCAATACAAAATGAGCTAAAACATTTATGGTATTTCTCTTTTATTTTGTGGCCTGCTCAGCCCACCCTGGGGCCAGGGCTGGCACAGCATATGGTGCTGGGGATTGAATCAGGGTCCCTGCACCCTTGCCTAAGCTTGCCTAAGCAGGTGCTTTAGAATGCTGAGCTATCTCATCAGCCCTAAGATATTTCTTATTAATGCAACTCCCAGACACCTTATAAATATGGTTAGATTTTATTGTCAAAGCTCCTCTTTAAAACAATGGTACTTATAGCTGCATACAGTATTTTAGATTTCTGTAGACCAACACAAAATAGTTATATATATTTTTATACCCATAGCAAAATCAGTGCCATTTCCCAGAAAAATAAAGTTCTCATTTAAAAATGAAAGAAGACAATGAAAAGGCAGATTCTATATTTTGGGATTTGATTACAAATCTAACATTCTGAAGGGCAAATGTGATGAGATCATAACTTTCAGTTTTTAAATTCTGTACAGTTTCTGTTTAAATGTTGGTTAAAATTATTTCTTTTGGAAAAGATGCTTGGCCTTTCAGAAATCATTACTGAGAAAGCTGATACTTTTCTAAGTTGATTTAGGCAAGCAAGTTGTAAAATCTGGTTACTTGAGCACTGTTTATACAGATTTCTGTCATACAAGTCACAATGATAAAGTGATAAACTAACTGGTGGTTGGCTAAAGATAATACTCAGTACATAGAATTCCTCATGCTTTGTCTGAGAGATTAGAAAAAGGTAGAATAACTAAGGGATTTCTTTTCTACTCATCCAAATAATCTAAACAAGGTAAATATGTATAGATAAGACACAGAAATACTACAATTATTACACAAACTATGACCAGGACCTTTAATGACCGGTTAGTCTGAGGGTTATCTCTTCTGAGAAAAGGATTGGGAGGAAGTTCCCTATTTGGAGAAATTCCTAATGGTTATCAATAAGTTTGCATCTCTGCAGATGGATGGATCATGACTGCTTCCACATTTGTCTGCCAGCAGAATTCAGTTCCTTGGGTTTGTAGAATGGAGACGACCATTTCCTTGCTGGCTGGCTCTTAGTTAAGGGTCATTTCCAGCTTGTAGCGGTGATCCATGCTCCTTGACTATAGCTTTCATTCTCCAAGTCCAAAGCCAACAACTCCTCTCTTCCAGTTCATTTCTCTAAACTGCTTAGGTAAAGCTCTGTAGTTAATATGGTTAGATTGTATCTGCCCAGATAATACAGGCTAACTTCACCATCTCCAGGTTGGGGCTTAATCACCTGTACAAAATTCTGTTAGCCATATCAGACAATGTATCATAGGTTCTAAGGTATAAAAAGTGGAAATATTGGGGGTAAACATCTTATTTGTCACATAGTCAATGTCAGAATTAGCCACAAAGCAAAGGGAGAGAATGCTAAAGTTATAGGACCAAGATTTAAAAATAATTTTACCCAATCTGGTTATAATGGTACATGTCCCTCCCTCCAGGTATATCAAGGTTCTTTGCTTTGATCAAATACATTGACACACTTGACTGACTATACAACTCTTTCTTACCAGTATTCTTTATCCACATTAGGGTGCTCATATATCTGTTATTCTTTTTTTTTTTCTGCCTTTTACCAGTCATAGCCCAGTGTGACCATCTTATATGTGTAAGCATAGCTTCCAACTTACATATTGCATACACACACATTAGCACCCTTAGGTAATTCCCTAAATTCTTCTGATTGCCTCCTTGGAAAAGAAACATTCTTATTCTCTTTTGCTGCATCCCTTCTTATTTGCTTGAGTTGCAAGTTGATCATTCCAATGTGATAGCAAATTTAGGAATGGCTTATTCCTAAGTCAAAAGTGACTTCTGCATAATTGGTTAATTTTAGTGGCAATTGCACTGAAAAAGAAGCTTCAAACTCTCCTTGTGAAAGATCATTTTTTGATGTCAAAAATGTTTCAGTTCCCTTCAGGGCATGCCAAATAGACAGCTGTACCACTGACCCTGTGCTCTGAATATTAGACTTCTGTCCTTAGAACTTTTAGTACACTTTGTATTTTCGCAGTTTGACTGTCTCTATCATATGCTTTGTATTAATTTACTTAAATTTGATTGTTTACATTTCCTCTTTTTAAGGTACTGCTGGATGAAATGAATGAGTGTAACACCATTCATCTATTTTCTAAATAGATCTTAAAATCAGTACACTGAAATTTTAAACAAGATGCTAGCCAGAATCATTATTCATCTTGTGTTTTCTACCGTGAATAAAGTTATCATAACTATTAGTGTCAATCAACTAATTACTACTGGAGGGAACTGCTGAGATAAAGTTAAAGATTATATTTTTTAGCCATTCCTCAGCTGATCGGCATTTGAGCTGTTTCCAAGATTTAGTTATGACAAATTGTATGCTATAGACATGGCTGCACATATATCACTGTGGGTTTGATATTTTTAGTTCTTCTGTTACTCAGCTATGCAAAAGGTAAACTCAAAGCTTTTATAGTTAGATGGATGCAAGTAGAGACCATACCTATAAGTGAAATAAATCAGATCCACATGTGTAAACATTCTATTGTCTTCCTAGTATAAGAACCTGAAAGAGTAAATGAAATCTGAAAGGTGAAATAGATGCTGTGAAAGGGAAAAAAATCGTTCAAAAGGAAGGAACAACTGGGATGGAGGAAAGGGGAAAAGAAAGGAAGGAAGGAAGGGAAAAAGAAATATATAGGAATACACACAAGATAGCTTTGATAATTGTACTGCTGGTTTCTGCTGATCTATTGAAAGGAACAGTTAATATCTAAATTTTCTCTCTCCTTTTAAATTTTTAAATAACTTTTTGACAAATTTTTCATGCTTATATCAGGTAATCTGAACAATTTGAAGACAACAATATACAATATAATAACCATTGTTAAATTCTATCATTTTGTTTAGTGAAATTCTGCATGTTTCTAATTTTTTTACTATGTTTTCTTCTCTTTAAAAATATGCAAATTAACTTTAACAATATACAGTACTCTGACTATGGCTGCACTAAAACATACAATGAAAATTGAAAAGAAAGATTATCTTAGAAACTTATCTAAACCAATGCAAGGCCCGAATAAGCACAGGAGTGTTACAAGGTCAGGAACAAGTGTGGCCCCATTAAAGCACCTTCACCATAGAAGCAGATGTTAAGTGCAGCACTATGTACAATAGAAAAACTTTTGGATAAACCAAAGTGTTAAAAAAATAAAGCTGGTTCAGTAAATACACTAAAGTGTATCCACATAATGGAATATCTTGCAGCCCTTTAAAATGATGCTGTAGAAAGATATTTATGCCATTGAAAATTGTCTTGATATTTTTAGTATGATGAAGTTAGAAAACAGGTTATATGATAGCATATAACTAGTGAAAAATAGCCCTTATAATATTATCTCAACTATGGATAATGACATGTTGATAGGAAAAAATCTAGAAGACATATACCAAAAATATTGATTGCAAAAACGTTTTTCTTACCCTTGGAACTATGATTGACTTTAATTTTTGGTATATTTGATATATACTACTTGGTAATCAGCAACAGTCAATATTATTATTCATAAGTGAATGGGGAACAACTTATCTAACTCAATTCATAATGCAATCTAGACCTTTGGAGATGACGACTAAGTCTTGTGGTCATCTGGAAAACACTGCTACTGGAATGCTTCCGGGTCCATAATCTGCAACATTCAGAAGTGTTTCCAGCATTTTACTTTCTTGAATTGTCACAATAAATTCATGAAGGGACATAGGTAGAGAAAGTGGTAATTAGCTTTGGCTAGAAACCAGAATTATGTTTGCCAAGTTTAGATTGGAAATGAAACCTTTCTGAGGAGTTCAAGACAAGCTGCTGAATCCAGTGTAGCCCGCAAACTCTGAGGCCGAGCCTAGCTGGGCTCAGCCAGGGAGCTCCAGAGGGCAGCTGATTTGGAGGAAGTGACTTCACAGTGGCAGTCTGCAGAGAGGAGAATGACTCACTCATCACCTTTGTTAGTGAGGACAGCCCGTTGCTTCTTCTTCTTTTTCCATGCAAAGTACACCACCCCAGCTGAGAAGATCACCGAGATCAGGGATGCAATTATAATCCAGAAAGGTTGGTGTGTAACAGGCACAGGGTGATTAGGAACTGGAAAGGACAAGTTTTCAATCAGCCATAAATTCACACACAAGTGTTTCATATCTGCTGCTGTTCTCTGTTTCATTGCCAGCTTTTGCTCCAGAGGAGCCTGCAATCCACATAGAAGGCCACAGAAAGTCCCAGTCTTGGGACCTCAGCAGATAACTGAGACTCATGCCTGTACCTCTAGCCAAATGCTTGGCATGGGCTGCCTTCCCTTCTGCCGCCTCCCCTGGGGGGCAGTTATGATATTGATCTGGATCTGAAAGGAGAGGATGAACTTAGCCATCATGCTGGAGTCCAGATAAGAGTCCAGACTCTATTAAGCAAAGAATCTGAATGTACAATCATCAGGACAATGCCCTGCTACCCCAGCCTGTGCAGTCAGTTCCAAAACTTTGAAGGTTCCCTTGTAATGGTTCCTCCATCCACCAACATCTATAAATAAGGCTCACTCCCTCAGATAAAGGGCATGACCTCTTCACAGCCTTGCATCTCCAGTTGGGTTTTGTTTGGTCTTATGTTCCACTGAGGCCATAGCAAACTTCCTCATCATGGCTTTCTGCATGTGCCACCACTAGAAATCCCTCACACCTTGAGGAACCAGAGTCAGAATTAGCTCCCCAGAGGTTAGGAGCTAGCTCTTTGCACGGGAACTCCCAAATTCTAGGTGAAAATAGGTTTTATGATGGAAAATCGAGTTGCTTCCATGATGTACATTTTGGGGAGTAGTTCTGGTAGGCAATCTCACATTACAAGAAAAAAAGAGGATCATCTGATCTCACATTAGCTGCAGTATGGACATATGTCCTTGTTTCTGGGACAGTGAAGAAAGGAGTTGTTGGTGTGTGTATAGTCAATACCTTTTGGCTATGTCCTAGTTTATTCTACTTGTGAATATTTGGCATTCCTGGCAAAGAAAGGCTATACTTGCAGTGTGACAACTATTATTTTTTGGCACTCTCAAAGACTCTAGTTTGGCTCAAGATCTAACCTATCTTTGTTCAAGTCACAGACTAGGGATATAGAGAAGCAAAACCTATCTTCCGGAAGCAGCTAGAGCTAAAACGTTTCTGAAGACAGTGCTGCCTGGGGAGGCTTTGGCCACATTGGAAAAGCAACATAACAGTGAGCCAAAGCTACTGTGAGGGCAACTGCAGAGTGCCCAAGGCATGCCAGGCATGGTGATGCTAGTGGCTAAGTGAAGATGCTGGGCGTGGAGAGGGCAAGAGAGACTGCAGAAGAAGCAGGCAGGACAGGATAGGTGGACCATTCTTTACTGGACTCTCAGAAACTGAGCTGACAGAGCAGAAGGAAATCAATACCAGAGAGGCTATGGGTCCAGTTGTAAAACCGGCTTATGTGGCTAAGCCCTAGGAGATCTCTTACTGAGAGTGTGTCTGTAGGTCAAACCATATCTAAAACAGATGCCAGGAGCAAAGAAGCAACAAAGACAGGCATGAAACAATGGGCTGGATGGATGCCTGGGGGGGGGGGCAAACCAAGGGCTGGAGAAGGGGTCGAGGAGAGCAGAAGGCAGCTGGGGAGGGAAGGGCTCAGAAAAGCAGGGACAGAGCTGGTGTGGCTGCATTGTCTAGGAGAGAAGCTTGTGGCTACTGCCCTTCAGGTATGTAGGTTCACATATAGATGAGACAGAGCTGAGATTTTAGAACATCAGGCTCCTGTTGGTGAGCATTGCTTAGTCTTACCCTTTTCCTCCAGCCTCATGGGTTCCTACTGCTCATCCTGCCATGATCATTTCTGCCTCTGTGTCTTTCTTTGCTATACTGACTCTTACATCAGACATGGCTCATTGATGGGATCCTCTCATCTGCTGAATCCTGAAGCTGTGTTTACAATTGTTTTGTGCAGGAAATCTCTGCACATGTGAAAGTCTGCCATCTGGAATTACTTCTCCTCTTATTAAGCCCAATAATCTCTTTTATGGTGTACAGTTCATTTGTTCTTGGGAAGCCCTGCAAAACTCCAGAATCCTCCATTCAAAGGTATTTCCAAAAGACTAGGGCAGTTTCAGGGGCTAAGAACATGTTCTTCAAGTGCAGCACTGGCTCACCGACTCCTAGGCCTAGATCACTCAGACACAGCCAGAGCCCTCCACTTAGGTCCAACCAACTAGCATCATAGAATGGCCTGGTAGGGGATTTCCCAGCAAGCAGTGGGCATCGAACCATTTGTTTTATATTGTACCTGACAAAAGAAATAGTGTTAGGAAGCAGCCTTACCTCTACAGAAAGGTTTGGAGCGAAGCTCCCTTTCCTCTGACTTCATTGCCTTAGTTTTCAGGACACAGAAGATGGTCATGTTACTCATGCCATCAGGGAATGGAAAATATTTGCTGATAGAGACGTTGTACAGCTCTGTACCATTATTTTGCGACGTCTGCATGTTGCAATCATACTCCAATTCAGTTGAATTTTCAAGTTTTACCAAAAAATACATCGTCATAGCTTTTGGATAACCTTGTCCAGATGAGCAGGTTAAATTTATGCCAAACTTGCCTGTTATATTAGACATCTGCACTATTTCAGGTTGAGTGAAGTTAGCTGGACACAGAACAGAGATACAAAAATCAGACTATACTTAGATGTATTTACAAGAGAACAGAAAATAAGTCCTCAATCTGGGAGTTCACTGGGGTCTACTGTGAGCCCAGGATCATCTAAAACATGGGCCTCAGTCTATGGTGTGGGTCACCTGATAAAATTATATTTTTCAAGGCCTCTTGTACTCATTGGGTGATAGGCAGGAGGGATGAAATTAGCACACCAAAGATAGAGAAATAACAACTTAAACACAGAAATCTATACATGAAAGTCATAGCAGCCCTCTCCATAACTGCCCCAAACTGGAAACTATCCAGTGTCTTTCAGTGGGTTAAAGGGGCAAGCAACAGAATGCAACTCAGTAACTGAAAGGAACATATTTTTGATATATGCAATACCTTGGATAAGACTCAAGGGCATTGTGCTGAATAAAAGAAGCTAATGTTTAGAGGTTACACATTGTAGGCTTCTCTTTAAATGGCATTCTCAAAGAGACAAAACTACAGGATGCAAAACAGAGGCTTTGGGTTCAGTAAGACTATGACTGCAAAGGGATGTCAGGAAGGAGTTTTTTAGGTTGATGGAAATACTCTGTATTTTATAGTCTACTGCGATGGCTATAGTGATGGATATCTATCTATCTATCTATCTATCTATCTATCTATCTATCTATCTATCTATAATTAATGTTTTGGTATGACAATAAGAAAAACTCTGCAGTCACGTTTAGGCTTCTGAGGGCCCAGGGGAACAGAGGAGATACTTTGTCGGGTTGTGGGTTTTCTTTGCTTGGATATTTCCCATTCTGTCCACTGGGCTCATGATTAGGGTGGAAACAATTGAAAAGCAACCTATAGAAGATTTTTTTACAGTCAGATTTCTGTCTTGCTAGGAGCTCCAAGGCACAACTTACTGGGTAAGAAATCATGGACTGAAGGAGAAGGTGAATGTCAAAATTTGAGGCTGGGTGGTTATAAAACTTAGCAACAGCCAAATTAATTTGCCCCCATCATTTCATTAAGTTAGCTGTTTTTTGCCCTCCCCCAAATTCTTACGACCCATCAGAAGCAAACTATAAAAGTATAAAGGACTTCAGTTCCCTACTCCCAGACCTTGTACTCCCCTCAACCGCATTTTTGAGAAATGAGTGTCTTCTGCCTGCTTGTTGCAGTACCCTTCCCTCAGGCCCTTGAAGTTTGCATCTTCGAAGTTTCTCTATTCATTTATGGACCCGTCAGAGAAGTCCAAAGATCTAGACACATCATGGGCCACATACCAAATAGTGACAGCTCGGAATCTTTCTGGTGGATAGAAACGAGACCTGTGGGCCTTTTGTGATGGATGATACATTGATAGACACCCTCATCCTTGATTTGAGCTCTGTGAAGTCGTAGGGTCCAGTTGTTGTGGTCAAAACTTGTGCGGTGCTTATATTTGGAATTCACGTTATTAAAATTTTCTTTCCCTAAATAATGTTCATAGAGGACTAACTTTTCCTGGTCCTGCCAAAATATAACCAGCTCATTCAAGCTGAGGTTTTGAGAGTTTGAAAATTGGCATGGAAGCTCTGCAGTCTCATTGAAATAAGCTTCACTCCTCAGGGAGACAGCACCTAAAAAAAAGAAAGGTGAGGATCAGGAAGGAGAAACAAGAGGGAAGAAAAACATCCCAATCACATTTAGCATTATACTCTATCCAGATGCTCAGTCTTATCAATAATGATACTAAAGAGCTGGACTATTATGACCTGGTACTGTGCATCCAATCCTAGACATCTGTGAGTTCTATAAACATTTATAGATATAGACATCTATAAATTCAGGGGTTTTGTTCCTATTTCACTATGAACTGAATGCATGGCATTGTGCAAATATCCACCTTTACAAGCCTTATTTGTCTCATCAGTTTAAGGAAGGGGGTTTTAAATGTTCTAAGAGTCTTTCTAGTACCATGGTTTTATAAGCTTAAATCGCAGGGCAGGGAAACCCAGCAGAGTTAGATAGCTCTTTTACCAAACTGTCACTTTCCTACAACTTGAGGATTAATATTCATTGCTAGAGCTGTTACAGGCTCACAACTGCTACATTCTCCCCCAAAGTCCTCCCTGTACTAACCTGTCATCTTGGTCTGCTCTGGCAAAAATATTAATAGTAATGATAATTTTTCTATCTCTTATCTCCCCTTTTATTATGCTTTATTAGTTGGAGGAATATCTTTGAAATTGAAGTAATTCCTTGCCTAGATCTTCCCCCATGGCCACTGTGCCCATGGCTGGGTCTGCCAAGGACAGAAAACAGTTTGGGGATGACTCAGTGAGCCAAGGCTTCTTTCTCCAGTGACCTCTCTGAGCCCTTTCAGGGACCAGAAGGAGAACTGGGAAGGTGAGAATTGTACTTTGAGAGTCCTGGGGAAACCCCAGGCAACACAGATTTGCTGTTGTCAATGTGTGCTGTCCCTGGAAATGTCCAACCCACAGGGAATGTGATAGCAGTTCAGAGGAAGGTTTTTGTTCTTGAAAGGATATTGGCATTTGTGGCAGGGATGTGGGCCACACTATTCTTTGAATGTGATAGATCTCAGGGTTTTAGGAGGGGCTTTTCTGGGTCACAGAAATACTTGGGACTTGGCAAAGGAATAAGGTAGTAGGGAGTGCGAAGTGCAAGGTGGGAAGAATGCTGTTTCTTAGTTAATATGGAGTTAGATGCTACCTTACACAGAAAGTTGGACTAGGTTCAAAATAAAGTCATTATTCAAGATTTTAGTGAAGGGACTTGGACACTAAAAGGACTAAAGGAGAGGTGTGTTTATGAGAGATATGAGAGGAGTTTCATTTCATGTGGTTTTAGTGGGAGAAGAGATTCCATTGATATGGTCAGTATTTTTTTTTTCAAAATAGAGAATAGATAGAGAGAAAATTACAGTGACATGCAAAATAATGTAGCAAAATGCAACATGTGCAGACTTCCTAGGGAGCACATGTGATCAGGAGCTCGGCAGTGAGTCTCCAAGCATCACTGCCAGGTGCTAAGAGTTTGAACAGTGCCTACCTCACCGCCCTTTCTTAGTAGTCTGCAAAGCATATGAGGTATAGGATGCATGCCGTGCTGGAAGGAGGAAGGAGGGGAAATTGTCTGGGTACCTAGAACAGTGAAGAGGGGACCTCAGGAAGCTTTAGTGCAATTGGCCATTACCTTACAAGATGAACCTGGGCCTTCTGCTTGCTTACCTTTTGATAACCATGCAAGAGTGCCACCTACTGTACAAGCTCAGAGCTCTGTGTCTGAGAAAGTACATTCTGGTTTGGGCCTAATTTGATGTACAATATAGGGGAAAGGACCTAATGAGAAACTGAACACGCAGACGAATGTCCTTTGAACTATTAGTGAATGCTACACTATTGCTCAACTACAAATTGTGCACCTGGAGATGACTTCATCGTTGGTTTGTTTTCCTATGTCTTGATTTACAGATTTTTTTTTTTACAGTAATTTCTCTCCTTTCCACTCATTCTCTTCACATATAGACAAATCCAAATCCTCGCAGTAGGCTCTTTCTCTCAAAAATTACAAGGGCTTTCTCTTCCACCATCTAACTGTTCTCTTCAACTACCAACAAAAGCATTCTTTGTGGACCAAGGCCATTTACATCATTTATGGGATGGTCTGGTGTCATCCAAGGCCACCTGAGTCCAAATCTACACTTTAACGAGAGTTCCAGTTTGAGAAGCTGCTACAGATGGTCTCTGATTCTGTCTCTAGATGGGACAAATTTATCTCCATCTACCTCTCCCCCTGAGATGGAAGCTACTCTTTTTATTCCCATGAGGTAAAAACTATTCTGTAACTCATCTAAATAGAACTGAGAGTATTTCACAATGTACACCATGCTTTCCTCACTAGGCACTGGTTTTAATGACATCACCCAGAGCTAGACATGGGGCACCTTGTTAATCCTTTCTTAACCGCATAGGGAAGTTTTGACTCAGGTCTGTTTTTCCCAAGTGACTTGGATCCTCTACTGTTACCATCCCCAGAGCTTAGATCCCTAAGCAACTGGACTCACCAGGACTCCAATGGTGAAATACACTGAGAATCCCTCCCCTCTCCAGCACCTTTGTGCAAGAAATGATCTAGCAGTAACCAGCTGAAGTGATGTTAGAAGGAGACAGACCCTCAAGAATTCAGCTGGACATCTTACTTAGGAATTTGTTTCCAAGGATAAGGATACTGAAGGACCTCTACTGTAATAATACATTGACAATGTCATGTCCAATCCATGGGCTGCTAACTTGTGAGTCTCTGACCCCTTTAAGACTCCAATCTTGCAGTGGACAGGGTTTGATCCTGGGCATGCCATGCCGACCCTGCCCCTGTGGTATGCTGAGATGGCAGTGGTGGTGCACACCTGTAATCCCAGCACTTGGAAGGCTGAAAACAGGAAAATCACTATGAGTCTGGTCTGTGTAGTGAGACCCCATAGACCCTGTACTAAAAAAAAAAGAAAAAGACTCTAGTCTTTCCTGGCTATTACCCCAAATGGCCATACATTATTTCCTGATGTTACTGTGCTTACTCATTCATTTTTTTCTTTTGCTAAATTTCCTTCAAAGCTTCATTAGGCCCTCTGGAAGCCTCATTCCATTGTGAAAAAAAAACCCAAAACAACCCATATGCTCATCCTCTTCATATTTACTCCAATGTTGTTCTTTCATTAAGATCTGGCCCTACTCAGGGAAGCTCCTAGGCTTCCAGCCATTGCATGCATGAGCCATTTCACAGGGGCCTTGGGCAGTGCCTTCCCATTAGGAGGTGGCACCCTCTCTCCTTGTTCACTAGTCATTACCCCTTGCTCAATGAGGACTTTGGCATTAGATGCAGGGTCTTTCTTTCTAACCAACTTTTACCATAATTTGGTGAGTTCACCACAGGTGAGTCATTTCCAAATATTTTCACCCTCAGGCTATTTCAGCAGGCCCCCCCCCCATGATATATCCCCAAACTTAATAATAACCCAGAACCACTCAAGCCCTAGAGCCTACTTTCTGTTCACAACCTCCTCGTCCTCCAGGTTTTGCTCTCATTTCTCACTCCACATTTGTTCTTCAGCTTCCCCAAGACCTCAGCTTTACCTAACCTAGACCCTCTGCTGGACAAGCACTTTTTGAGGTGACATAAATGCCTTCCTCTGCAGTGGGCAATGTGGTAGCTTCTAGCCACCAGCCACTGTAGCTATTGAGAGTATGTGCGTGTGATCTGGGAGAGGAACTGAATTTTTAAAAATTTCTTTATTATTGGTTGATTGATTGATTGATTGATGTGATACAGAGTCTCATCATGCAGCTCAGACTCATAGTGAGCCTTCTGTTTCAGCCTCCCTAGTGCTGGGGTTACAGGCATGCACCACCACACCTGGTTCCACTGGCCAGCATCGCGCACCCAGGGTTCCAGGGCTGGCACGGCATGCAGTACCAGGGATTGAACCCGGGTCCTTGTGCTTGCCAGGCAGGTGCTTAGACCACTGAGCTATCTTTCCAGCCTCAAAACTGAATTTTTAAATTTTAATTGCAGTGCAATCAGTCACACGTGGTAGCAGCTATCAAAGACAAAACAGTAATATGTATTTTTAATCATTCTATGTCCGCAACCTCAATAAATATCAGCCTTTGTCTCTATAGAATTCTGTGTGAGGACACTCTACCTTCAGTCTACATATCTTTTCTGACAATGAGTGGCGTGCTCCTGGAGGAAATGACCTATGATTTAGACTGGTGATATTTTCAATCTGTGGTGTCCAGTCTCACTTAGCTTGGCCACCAGACTCACCACCCTGCTTCAGACACTTCCCTTTTGCTCCTGCTTCTAGTTTCTCTTTCTTTTACAGTTAAACACTTGGAATAAGCAGAAACAGCTGCCCTTACTCCCTGCCTCCAACCTCTACCTCTCTAGTAAAACTGCCCTGATAAGGGTTGCCAGTAACTTCCCACTTGAGGCCAGTGACTCCACCTCATTTGACCACTCTGCTGAATGTTATGTTCTTTTTTTCAAGTTTTACTTATCTGGTACAGGGTCTCACTACACAGCTCAGACTCATAGTGATCTAAGCTTCCTGTCTAAGCTTCCCCAGTGCTGGGATTACAGGCGTGCCCCACCATGCCCAGACTCAGTGGAGGGCCCAGCACAAGGCGGGGCCAGCATGGCATGGGGTACCAGTGATCAAACCTGGCTTCCTTATGTTTGCTCAAACTGGTGCTTAGACTGCTGAGTTATCTCTGCAGCCTCGATGTTATGCTCTTGGTGCCATTCCTTGGAATGCCCTGTCTTCCTCAATCTCTGACTTCCTGGTTCAAATGCTTGTTGTTGGGCTTCTCACTCTCCACCCTCTCCTCAGGTTTCTCCTTCTGTCCCCATGGATGCACCACCAATTCTCCAGCCTACAACTTTCATAGAGCTCCAGACACTCGGACCCAACAGCCTGTCGAATGCCTTCAGTTTGCAACGAGCTCACCTTCCTCTTTCAGACCTGCCTCTGTCTCAGTGAGCAGTCGCCTGACTTGCTGCTGCCCCCAGTCCTTTGAAATGGCTGTGCATGTGTGGTACAGAAAATGTGAGACTA